AGTTCAGAATGATGACTTCTATCAACAACTTCCTGGACTTGAGGGCAAGAGTTCATGGGAACTTTGTATCTCTTCTAGCACCTAGAACATAAGTAGGTGCTGAAAAAAAGGCTAATTTATTGTATTGCATCAAACTGCATTTGGCATTTAAAAGGGCTCCAGCAAAAAGCCCATGGAATCATATCTTTACATGTGACAGAAATTAAAGATTTCTTATATTTCTTATAAGAATTTCTTATATCAATTTTGCCCATAAATTGTAAGTAGAGAGCTCTTGACAATAAAGTGAGCAGGCAGAACAGAGAAAATTTATGCTTGAAAATATCAGCCCATCAAGTCAATAGCAAGCATCATATCCAACAACATAAATAAAATAGCAAGCATTTATACAATGTTTTATGGTTTGCAAAGTGCTTTACTAATATTATTTCATTTGATCCTTACAGCAATCCTGGAAAGTAAATGCTATTATTATCTTCATTTTACAGATAAAGAAACCAAGGCAGATGGAGGTTAAGGGACTTGCCCAGAGTCACACAGCTGATGTGATTTGAACACAAGTCTCCTGATTCCAAGTCCAAAGCCCTATCCACTGCAACACCCAGTTGCCTAAGGTCATTTATGTCAACTCTTTCTCAGCTTGGGGAAGAAGACACCGATACTCTTATTTGTTGGTTCAAGAACAAGGAGTGTAGTAGGTTCTGGTCAAAGGCTAGCCTTTAAGGGGTGTGTCATTCAAAGTTTGCCGGTAATAAATCTAGAAGCTGTAATAACAGTTCACCTTGCCTTGTACTGGATAAATTACATTTTTCATGTGACAGTGAAGCCCCAGTGCTGTATCATATTCAGAAAAGCAATATCAACTTTACTTAGGATACTACAGTATTTTCAAAAGTATTTATGGCTGGCCATGAATACAAAATAAAATTGACTTTTACTACATTAACAATAAAAAATTATGTGTTCCACACTATTTTCTTACAAGAGCACTGTGCTTTTGTCAGGCTTATAGACTTTTGTTTATACAGGTCTACGAGAGGGCCAGTCCTGGTTCCTCCGGACTCTGTCCTTCTCCATCAAAACAGAAGAGGAGAAGAGAGAATGGCTTTGAGCTCCTGAGAACCAGGAACCAGGCACAGCTTCACCAATGTCTTCTAGCCCCTGATTCTGTTGTTGCTACCATTGCCCCTTCCTAAGAAGACCTTCAGTTCCCACTCAAGGGCTGTGCTATCCTGAGCGGTGAAATTTCTCCATATGTCACTACTGCCAGTCATCCAAACAGGCTTCACGCCTTCTTCCTGCCAAATAATGTCTTTCCCTCACCTGCTTTTTCCCCTACCATGTTCTAGGAATAGATAATAAGATTCTGGACTAAGGGTAACAGCTATTCACCTCAGCCTCCAAGTTTATTGCAAGGAAGACTGATTGTGTATGCTGGGAGGTGTCAGTAACATCCTTCTGTGAGAACTGTGAGGCAGTTCCACAAGGGTTTGACTCTCCAATTCTCCCTTCACTTCTACTTGCTTGTTGGTTAAATACGTTCATTGCTATTTGTTGTTTTGGTACTCTCTAATTGTTTTATTATTCTGACTCTTTCTTCTCATCATATGAAACATCTGTGGTTGGCCCAGATGTGCACTTCCACGTATATGCTCTGGTCATGATCAGAGGATGCAACTGGGAGAAAAGCTGACTATTGTAACTGCACAGAAGAAAACTCGTTAGAAAATGTTCTTCCTAGCTTAGGTCAGAGATACCATCCTCTGGCCAATGGCTAGAGGAAATAAATTTCTTCTATAAAATGGGGATGATGAGCTATGTTAATTGATTTTATATTTTACTGACAAACCTATAGAATCCCGTAAGAGCAAAGAAAGGGAATTCCAGGATCTGAGGCTATTGCCCCTGGACAATTTTGTCTGTTGGTTGCTGTGAAAGGGTATGATGAAGAAGCAAGGGCAAAGGAAGAGGGGGAAAATGAGAACACAGGTGGGTAGCCTGTGAGGCAAGAAGTCTCTGTCCTCAAAAGTAGAAAGTCTTGTCCTGAGCTTGCCCCCTAGTGGGTGGACAGAGGAATAGTCTAAGAGTATTCTTTTCCACCCTTTACTAGTTGAGAGGGAGATTGTGTTCAACCACCAGCTATCCTTTTTTGCTCTCAATAGCAACAGTTACAGGTTACACTTTATTTACTTGTTCATAACAGTTTACATTTCCGTAGTGCTTTTAAGATTTACAAATTACTTTTCTCAAACAACCCTGTGCCGTAAATACCATTGTCTTCATCTTAAAGATGAGGAAGTTGAGAACCCACAGAGAATAACTTGTTTATGGTATAATAGCTTGCACATTTAATAAGTATAAGAGCCAGTAATCAAACCAAGTCCATCCAGTTACTGCTTGTTGCTATATTTTTCTATGTTGTCTACTAATCTAGTCTTTCTTAACAACACACTGCCCTTCACAAGTACTCAATGCTGTAGCCACACTATTGTTGTTTTGATCTGTTCCTGCCTTCTCCCACCACTGTGCGTGTTAAATACAGAGCCTTCAAGCATTCTTGATGAAAAGACCAGAGCTAAACAGAAAAATTGACTTTCAAATACAAAGAGTCAAGAGAAGCATGAAAAGGTGAACAGGAAAGAGAAATCATAATGGACTTATTAAAGTTGAACTGTTTACATTCCTACATGGAAAGATAATATTTGCAACTCATGAGACCTTTCTCACTATTAGGGTAGTAGGAAGGAAAAATATATGCATAGATATAGATATAGATATATAGATATAGATATAGACAGAAGGCACAGGGTAAATTGAAATATGAAGGAATGATATCTAGAAAATAAAAATAAGGGATGAGAGAGGAATGTAAAGCTTTTACAGTAGAGGAGAAATGGAGGGAGGTGAGAGGGAATGAGTGAATCTTATTCTCATAGGATTTGGCTTGAGGAGGGAATAACATACACACTCATTTGGGTATGGAAATCTATCTTCTCCTATAGGAAAATTGGAGGGAAGGGGATAAGAGAGAGGGGGATGATAGAAGGGAGGGCAGATTGGGGGAGGGGTAATCAGAAGCAAACACTTCTGAGGAGGGACAGGGTCAAAAGAGAGAACAGAATAAATGAGGGGCAGGATATGATGAAGGGAAATACAGTTAGTTTTTCACAACATGACTATTACGGAAGTGTTTTGCATGACTACACATGTATAGCCTGTATGGAGTTGCTTGCTTTTCTCAACAATGGGGGATGGGGAGGGAGGAAGGGAGAGAATTTGGACCCCAAAGTTTTATAAACAAATGTTAAAAATTGTTTTCACATGCAACTGGGAAATAAGATGCAGGCAATGGGGTATAGGAATCTATTCTACTCTACAGGAAAATAGAAGGAAAAGGGGATGGGGGGTAGTAGAAGGGAGGGCAGATTGGGGGAAGGGGTATTCAGAATGCACACCATCTTGGGGTGGGGGGAGGGGAGAGATGGGGAGAAAATTGGGAACTCAAAAATCTTGTGGAAGTGAATGTTGAAAACTACAAATAAATTAATTGATTTAAAAAAAGAAAAAATTAATCTGCATTATTAACAATTTTCTCTATCTCTATTTTGGCTCCAGACAATCAACAAAACACTAAATCAAGTCCCAGTTTGCAGCTATTTGCCGATCTGCAGCTGTTTGACAATGTCTGAGTGGTAAATACTCATCCTATCAATTTAACAATCAGCTCTTTTGAGCTGCCCGAACAAACTATGGAATTGAATTTTCCATCTGTAACATGGGGGTGACAATAACATCTCCTTCACAGGACTGTTATAAGGACAAGGACCAATTTTAACCATAACCTGGGTAAAGCACTAAGCAAACCTTCAAGTCCTATATGAACACTAATTATTATGCGAGAGACCCTGTGCCTGTGGAGAAACAAAGATGATTCTCTGTCTTCAAGCATCTTACAAAGAAACAGGAGAAAGAAAATAGACTCGAAAGTAATTATAAAACAAAACTAAGAGCAGTAAGTTCAAAAGAAAGATGAACAAGCGGTAAGAGAGTTGAGGCAACAGAGACATCACCTACAGCTGGAGTAATCACGGAAGACTTCAAATACTTAAGCAGTCAAAATGGTTAGTAGTGTCTGCACAGACATCAGTTTGCTAGTTTAGGTTTCAAAAGAAATGTTAGGATTTATCATTAGCCAGCAAATTTACCCTCCATCCACACACCAAAAGTAGATAGAAATGTATTCTTTTATACCAGTTTAATACACTTTAAACACTGACATATTTTAACAGCCCTAACAAACCAGTTGGCATCACTTTTATTTTTAAAACATTCTTACGTTCCCAAACTTCAAATCCTTGGCATCATCTCATATTTAGCGTGACCTGACTCAGAGGCACAATCCCAGATAGAATTGTCTCCTTATCAAATTAGGAATCTTTGCAGTTGGTCAAGCTCAAGACAGTTGTTTGTATTATTTCATCTTATTACATGAAAAAAAAATGTTTTGCCAAATACAGATAAAATGAGGTCTGACCCTAGAAAAAAATTAATTGAATAATTATCAAAATTGAAAACTACTTTGTGTTTGCAGTAAAACCATTACCAATCTCTCCACATGAACCAGCCCTTTATGTAACCCAGGTATTGCTGAATCCAGAATTGATGAAAGTAGGAGAGGCAAATGTAGAGAAGGGGAAAGGATTTGGGGGGGGGTTAAGAAAAAAGCATTTGTTAAGTTCCTATTATGTGTCAGTCACAGTGCTAAGTACCTTAAACATATTTTCTCATTTGATCCTCACAATGATCTTGGCAGGTAGTTGCTTTTATTATCCCCACTTTAGAGTTGAGGAAACTGAGGCAAAGGGTAGCAAAGTGACTTGCCCAGAATCACCACAGCTAGTAAATATCTGTGACTTTGAACTCAGATCTTCCTTCTTCCTAACTCCAGGCTTAGCATTTTATCTACTGTGCCATCTCAAAGGAAGATATCTTACCTGGAATAATGACTGTAAGGCAATCAGCATGTCATAGTTGATGAGGCAACATTTGATTTCATTCTTAAACAGAGGTCACTAGTTCTCCAAGCCCAGCTGGCTTCTGTCATACCAAGTCTGTCATTAAAAAAAAAATCCAAAAAGTTACCCTGCTTTTATTATAAACATAAACTGCAACAACAATGTTTACAAATCAGCCAATTAGTCAACAAAGAAGATGCTATTATTATCCCCATTTTATGGATGAGGAAACTGAGGCTCATGAAATTTAAATAACTTACCTAGAGTCACACAGCTAGTAGGTGTCTCAGGGGCATTTAATCCCAAATCCTTTTAAATTCAAGTTTAGGTCTCTATCTACTATGTCTTCTGTTTTTCTCCTCCTGAAAAATCATGTTCATAAAGGGTTATTAATGTCATCATAAAAATTAATATTAATATTTTGAAAGTATAAATCATTCCTAGTAGTTATTTTACTTACTTGGAAATGACTGAAAACAAGTAAATAAAAACAAAAAGCATCACATTAAGCGTGTTTGCAAACATTATTTCATTTGACACTTAAACAGTGAGCCTAATAGGCAGCTGTTATTATCATCCGCATTTTACAGTTGAGAAAACTGAAACACATGGACAGGAAATTACTTGCCCAGGGTCACACAGCTAATAAATGCCTACGGCTAGTTTTCCTAACTCCTGAACCCAAACTTAATCTACTGTGCTGCCTCAGTGCACAACAACAAAAAAATTTCTTTTGCGCCATTCTAGGTAGTTCTATTTCATTTTCTTATTATAGGTATGAGTATCTGGTTTCACTTCTCATGATTTTGTACCTGCAAGTGGTATTTTTTCTCTTCCTAAGGAATGCATATGAATCAATGCTGCTTGCTGCAGAATATATACATGCATTTGCACATTTCTATATAGCTTTATTAATAAATAAAGCCTTTATCCCCTTGTTAAGATCTTAGGGTAGTGGGAGTTTATTCCCTCTCCCCTTTTGAATCTGAGTTGGGGTTTCACATGTAGAATCCTAGAAGCAAAATAACTCAGTACCCACAAGAGGCTTTGGGCACCTCGCCTGAGAATATAACTGGAGGCCATTCTACAGACACTTGCCAAAGAATTAGCATGTAGTTAGAAACTTAATTGTATTTATTTCTCTCTGTCTCTGTCTCTGTCTCTGTCCCTGTCTCTGTCTCTCTCTCTCTCCATCTCTCTGACTGTCCATCTGTCTCTCTCTTCTATCTCTTTTTTGCTTTTACCTCTAAAATCAGTTCGGAAGGTCTCCCTCCTTTTGTCTAACAATAACTTCACAGATCAAATGTACATATGGGCCCAGGTAGCCTCATACCACTTATCATCATAAATACCACCCTCCATAACCCCCTTGTTAACTGCTGTTGCTGTTTAGTTTTTTCAGTAATGTTGACTCTTCGTGACCCCTTTTGGTTTTGTTTTTTGTTTTTTGTTTTGTTTTGTTGTGTTTCTTGTGAGACAATTGGGGTTAAGTGACTTGCCAAGGGTCACACAGTTAGTAAGTGTCAAGTGTCTGAGGCCGCATTTGAACTCAGGGCCTCCTGACTTCAGTGTTGGTGCTGTAGCCACTGAGCAACCTAACTGCCCTCCCCCTTTTGGATTTTTCTTGGCAAAGAAAAACTGGACTAGTTTGCCATTTCCTTTTCCTACTACATCAGTGGAATAGCCCCCTTTGATTGGATGCTTGTCTATTTACAAATAATGAAAGCTTGTCTCTCTTTCTACCATGTTTTGGCTACAGCTTTTCAGTGAATTTTTTCTATTGCCTGGAAGCCACCAAGTGAATAGGTGAGAAGGAGGGATTTGCCTTCCCTTTTTTCCTTCTATTGTACCCCAGCTCTGAGAAATGGTCCTGGGGGTATTTGTTTCTGTTCTGTGTTGTTTGTCCTCAGTTTCAGGTGCCACCAGGAGCTCAAGCCATGACAAACTTGAAGACACGATCCCATGGCGTAACCATCCAGGCCTGCTCGGAAGCCCTGAGAAGCCAAGGTGCCTGGGACTGGAGCCCCAACAGGTATTTTGAACTTGGCACCAGCAATATTGGCTATGGAAACCAAGCCGAGCTAAGAACCTAATCCTCTTCCCCTCCCTAGAGACTGAGGTGATGCAGAAGAGGAGGCTATATTACACATGATATATAGACATACATAGTAGGTCAACTGGAAATAGAGAGGTAATGTGCTGTAGTGGACTGACTTTAGAATCCCAAGACCTGATTTAAAGTTTCAGTAAAGAGCAGTGAACTTATAGTGTGTGACTTAGTAATAGTACCTGAGCTGGAATTTTGCTGCTTACTAAAGACTGTTCCTTATTTCTCATCTGGACTCCTCCATTATGCCTCCAGAAAACTCTTCATCCTGGAAGATCACTTCTGTCCTGGAATTCACATGTTGGAAGCACCTTGAGCCCCTCCCATTTAAGGAGGATGCTCAGGCCAACTGTCTCTTCATTTCTTTTTCTTTCTTTCTTTCTTTTTTTTTTTTTTTTTGGTGAGGCAATCGGGATTAAGTGATTTACCCAAGATCACACAGCTAGTAAGTGTCAAGTGTCTTGAGGGCAGATTTGAACTCAGGTTGTCCTGACTCCAAGGCTGGAGCTTTATCCACTGAGCCATCTAGCTGCCCCCAGCTCTTCATTTCTTACCAGGCCACAATCTGACTCCCCCATCATGCCCCAGGTCCAGGCACCTCCCCTCAATCTAGCTTTATGTTACATGCTGTCTTTCCCAATTAGAATGCAATGTCATCAGCAGAGGGCTCAGTGATGGCTGCTATTAATATGCTAATATTATATTTAATATATGTTATTTAAATATTTAAATGGTATTTATTGTTTATCATATAAGTATTTGTAATATGATAAATAAAATTTAAATATTTAAGTAATATTTGATATATTTTAGCTTGTTATGACTTTACTATCACCAAGATATTCTTCCTGTGTTTATCATCACCATTACTGTCATCTATACAATGCTTTAAGGTGTGTAAAGCAGGTAGCTCCCCTCATTCCAGCTTTATGTTACGTGCTGTCTTTCCCAATTAGAATGCAAGCTCCATTAGGGCAGGCATGCATTATCTTTCTTTGAGCTTGTGGTTACATTGCTGGCACTTAACATAGTGCCTGGCACATAGTTGTGGTTGTTGTTGTTATTTGTCCCTCATTTTCTAAGAGGACCAATGAAATCAAAGGCAACGTCTTGTCTTGTCATGGAAGACTGATGTGGCCAGGATGCAGTAGATAACCTTAGCATCTTTGACATCTGACCAAGCTGTAAGCACTCCATGGTCTCTGCTTCAGCTCCTTCATGGCCATTGGAACGAATTGTTCTCATCCACCCACTCTGCCGGGGGAAATCTTCGCATACTTGGGTAGACATCAGCCTAACTCACTAACAAGTTTGAGGCCTACTGGTCACCCTCAAACCAATTTAGCCCATGATGGTTTACCAGGGTGTGGCCACTGTGCATACTACAACTTCTTGGATCCATAGGTGAAAGCTGAATTCATCAAGTGGACACCGAAAGTGGATGAGAAGCTCTGAAAAGGACCTGGCAAGCCCTCACACCAGAAGTACTAGTCCTCCTGAAAACCCACCCCATACACTCCTGGCACAGAGTAAGCACTTAATAAATTCTTGTTAACTGACTGTCCACCACCTCTGTGACCAAATCTCTAGACCTCAGGTTACTCATCTGTAAAATGAAGGTGCTGGCATCTAAAGTCCCAGCCAACATTACATTGATAAGCCTGCAATCTTAAATTCTAGCTTTATCACTTACTTGCTGTGTGACTATGGATAATACATATAACTTTCCAAAGCCTCAGTTTCCTCATTTGTAAACTGGGGTTAGAAATATCTGTAGTACCTACATAACAAGGCTATTTTGAGGAAAATATCCTGCAAATTGTAACTAATATGCTGTATCATTATTCTGAACGAGAGGTAAGGACTGGCCTGTGACAGTATCAGTATAGCTGATCCCATAGGAAGGATTATATTACCTCTGGAGAACTTGTTCCTTAAGAAACATTTGCTGGTCATTTCATTCTGTAGCTATGTCTCATAGGAAATGTCAACCTAAGGGAAGTCAGAGTTTAAAGGAGACATAAATATAAGAGGCAGAGTGCAGCTCAGCATAGACCAACTAAAAGTATGTCAAGGGGCAGCGAGGTGGTGCAGTGGATAGAGCACTGGCCTTGAAGTCAGGAGGATTTGAGTTCAAATTCAGCCTCAGACCAAACACTTGATATTTACTAGCTGTGTGACCCTGGGCAAGTCACTTAACCCCAAAAGTCTAAAAAAAAGTATGTCTCTCCAATTATTTGTTCATGTAGTTTGAAGAAAGGAAAGGTCTCAGAAGATTGAAATAGGAACACATGAGGAAGTAGGGAATGGAAGGAGTGAAGAAAGGCAGGAGAAACATCAGAGTATTCGTGAATCCAAAGTTTCCATATATTAATGATGTTCCTTACAATTCATAAAGAATCATTGTAGCAATCATTACATTACATTAATTTACTCAGTCTAGTTTTATAGCTCCTCTCCAATATATATATATTTCTAAGCTGATAGCTTAAATTTCATGGTTGAGATACTATTTCCCCACCTTGTTTCTTTCCTTGGATCACATCTATTTTTAATCTCATCATTAAGGTCAGGTTTCTCAGTAATTCTGACCAATTAAATCATATAATTTAATTTTTTTAGCGAAATATATTTCCTTCAGAGAGCCTTTCAGACTTCTAGGTGATTAAACACACTGCTTTGTCAAATAAATTTATAATTAGGCCAGGTCCAGAAATAAGCAAGGACTTTTACTCATTTTGGAACAGGAAAAAAGAGTCTACCCAGAAGCCTGAGGAAACCAGAGATCCCATCCTAGAGGTCAGAATTCTGAGGAATCTATTTGGCAGAGTAAACAAATGCATTCAGAAGGGCCTTGAATGTCCACTATAGAGGAGAAGACAGTCCCAATATACTTACTGGCTGCATTGTATGATGTCGATCTGAAATGTGAAGGATTATAATCTAGAATCTGGACTTTATGAACTTGTATTTATTACAGACTCTTGACCTACTTCTACTCAGGCAAAGAAACATCAGCCATATAGGGATTCCAAAGACCAGTTGCTCTTGGAAGATCTTCCTGGTATCAAGTAGCAACTTGTAAGAGGATTCAGGTTTTGTGAGACACATCCCAAAATTATAAATGGAGACAAAGAATCAGAATAGATTTTGCTTTTCACAGCAGTCAGTTTAGAAAAGAAAAAAAAGGAGGGCAGACAAAGGAAGGTATACTAAAAGTTCTGCAGACATTGATGCCAGGCTTAATTTCATTTT